GCAATCATAACAGTGAAAACAGTGAAATGCAATGCACACATGACATGACTTTTCCACAGGTGCCATGTGGAATACGTGCCAAAATGAAAAGCAAAACCTCTACTACACTGTTTTCGCGTCGCTTGACCTCGTTTTTGTACTTCAAATGTATTTGCCTCTTTGAAATGCAACCAAAACAGTGAAATGCAGTGCACATGAGACTGCATTTAAACAGGAACATGCGGAAAACATGCCAAAAGGCTTTGTTTAAATACTGCACAGTGGAAAGCAATGTAGTCATGCCTTTGTTACATTTCATGGCAGATTGTATTCAATTCTTGCATGAATTCAGCTTTGCGGTTTTTTAAATGCAAATCCAGTGCATTGTTTTTAAAAAAGAGGTCAATCTATGTGAAAAACAATGTAACAGAGGGTTTGTTTTTCATTTTAGCAGTAATGTCATTTTTGCATTGCATTCCATGTATTTCCACTGTAGTGATTGCTTTTCAATTTGGCACAGATTCCTCTCCATATAATTGTATGCATGAAGGTGAAATAAGCAATTGGTTCTGCTAGAAAGGACTACTGAAAAATAAAGCGCGCTGCTAAAAATAGCAGTGTTCAGGAATGAAAGGACAAAAGCACAACTATAAAAATATACTATATCAAAACCGAACATGCACAAGCAATAAGATAACTATGTTGTCCATGTTCTCCAAGTTGTCCATGTTTTGTCCATTTTGTTAAGCTTTTAGTTTTTGGTCATATATTCATAAACATATGTTTGTCAGTGACAAATATCACCTAAAAAGCAGATCAGTCACACTAATGTCAGTCGGCGAAGCATTGGATGCTGATGATACAAGGTCTTTTAGCAAACCTCACAGATTGCATAGGAGTTACATTATCATCAAATGGAATATTTTAACAGCAGATGTGAGTGTTGTACTGGTTAATCTCACCGATTTATTAAGCTGTCAGCAGCGAAGAAAAGCTAGCTTAGCTAGCTAACTGATCTTAAAGGGGAATTCCACTGATTTTTCACAGAATTCAATCTTTGAGATGCAAACAAGACATGCTTGGTGTCTGATGTTTGCTTTGTTAGAGTGATGTGATGCGAAATGCTCCATTCTAGAGAAACTTCCAGACTCAGATTTCTTTACAATGGGGGTGATAGGAACCAGAGGTCAAAGTGTCTACAACACAAGTATAGCCATTTCCCTTCAAACCACTTTGAATCTTAACGATTAAATTACACAGAAATTTTTAAACATCAGTGGAATTCCCCTTTGACATCGTTCTGCGAGGTTATATGTTGTTCGATCTTTTAGCTGCTTGATAATGATTTTCTCATTGAGAGTTACGAGTGTCACATTTACACAGATTAAAACAAAAATGTTTTCAGCTTCAGGACTCAAATAAAAACAGCTCCACCCTCCAATTGAACCGGATAGCGCGTCTCTGAATGACACGTTCTTTGGCCTCACTGCAGGTTTGTTCAAAGGAATTTGCTTGAGTTTTTCGTTCACTTGTTGGAAGGAGTTATGGTTAGAGCTACGATTGCTAAGCTTGATTGGTTGAGCGTCAGTTTTGTCAATTGTGAACGAAAACATGGATTCCAAATTCATCTGGTGGGGCGGATGAGAACCATACCGGCCCGTGGGCTGTAGAATTGACACCCCTAGTTTAAACGAAACTGGGCTTTTATGGAGGTAATGCAGTTTTGGGCTGTTTACCTCAGTTCTCACTCTGATGCCTGACCACACCTACCAGTACTATGTTTCATGGTCAATACAAGGAACACATGATGTCTTGGTGCTTTGATACAGAATTTACATAATGGGTGCACTCAGAAGTGCACAGTCTTCGAACATGGCTCAGCCAGTCAGATTTCAGAACTGTGATCTGTTTTATAATTTTAATATACACTGATCAGGCATTATCACATCATAACATTATAACATTACGACCACCTCCTTGTTTCTATGCTCATTGTCCATTTTATAAGCTCCACTTACTATATAGGTGCACTTTGTAGTTCTCTGTGAAGGCCCACGGGGGTCCTGACCACTGAAGAACAGGGTAAAAGGGGGCTAACAAAGTATGCAGAGAAACAGATGGACTACAGTCTGTAATTGTAGAACTTCAAAGTGCAGCTATTTTATTAATTTTTACTGCATTTTAGCCCTAGAGAAATGTTATTTGTCTGTAATGCTGATGCAGTTGGATCTAGTTTTGATTCCTACATTTTATAAAGGTTTATGTGTCGGCATCAGCAGATAAACATGAAAAAGATTGGCCCACAATTCTATAAGCATTGTCCCACAATTCCTATATAAGTGCCTCCAGATTGAAAATGGTCAGAAGTGTGATTTCACAGAGATGGAAATGGTCAGAACTCTCGGTGGGCTTTGGGAAGGGTGTTCATGTTGAATAAATGAATGACTGTAGTTAGTCGGTCAGATGTTTTGGAAAGTCTGTGCAGGAGTCAGCATTAATAAAAAACGGCGCTGCATTAAGAGTCTCAGTGAGCTATTCCTGTGTTTGTTTGAAAAGTGTACCCTCTCTTTCTGATTAATGTGTGTTCGAGTGCCTCGGGTATTGCTTTCAATGCAATTGAAAGGCTGTGATTACACAGGAACACGCACACATCTACGTGCACACATGGCCTTGGATGGTTTAATAATTCACATTTCTCTGGGGCGGTTGGGCTCCAGATCCATTTTTCATGAGAGGGGACAGTGGCGAGTTCCAAAGCCAAGTTATTACATAGCGAAAAAGGAAAAGCAGCTCAAACAGACGTTACCTCTGCCTTTGTTTACTTCAGGGCAAATAAAAATGTTACAGGGGCAGAATAAGAGCTCGACGCTGATTCGGTTTTGCCCTGGTGCTTTAGTTATATAATGGACATCCAGTGTGTGTAATCTCCCCCTGACCCCAAATGTAGTGGATCAGCCAAGACATGTTTTGGTGAAGTTTGCTTCTTTAGTTTTGCACTGGCCAATCTGTATTGTCTCTATTACATAACTACAGCACCCAGGCAAAAATGAGCCAGCATTAAGCTCTTACTTTGCCCCGTATGTGCCCTGCAGTTAAAGGGAGATAATAATGGAGAGACTAAAAATGGGCCAGTGAACTGCGTTAAAGGGACATTTTTGTAAAAAAATAATTAATTAATTTGCGCAGTTTTCACCTTACCACACATATAATTAGCTTTGTTGTCTGATGTTTGCTTTGCTAGCTTTGCACTACAGCTGCAAGTAGAGAAACATTGATATGGGAATTATAGGCTGATGCAGATATTCATCATTTTTTCATGTATATATCTGCTGATGTAGACACAAAAAACGTTCATGAAATGTAGAAATTAGGACTACATCCATCAGGTTTAGCATTACAGAGAAATGCAATACATATGTATAGGGTTACAAATACATTAACATGAATAAAATGCAGAAATTTTAGTCCACTAACTCAGCAGCACCTAAACATCCTGCTTTTATCGGTTTGAAATATCAGTCAAATTCAAACATCTGTCTGATTTTTTTTTTCCATGCAAAAATCTGCCAATGATATGATTCCAGTATCATTAAGTGCGTGTACATGCACTTTAGATTGCGCCACTTTTCCTGAAAATATGAACATACATCATCGAGAAGATGAAGAATATTTCAATCCTTCATTTCATCAAGCATGTAGTTGGTTTTAGTGTCGCTCCAGAAGTGTTTTGCTGCGTCTCACAGCAACACTGCTTGCTTATTTCCGTTACCACCGTCTGTTTTCGCACATGCGCCGTCTGAGAAATCCGAAAGAAATCAGAGTAAGCGTTTACATGCACTGAGACGTCTGATCACTGAGCTAAAATCCAGCTCTCTTTATCAAATTTCTTAATCGGATTTCTAGACCTTACTCCGATCTAAGAAATCAGAATATGATGTTTACGTGACCATTTGAATTATCAAATATCTGCAGAAATCTGATTATGATTGGATTATTGAGTGCATGTAAACACACTCATTGTGCATCACTAGCTGTGACGCTAATGTAACTAACAAGTAATGGAAGCTAATGTACACCAGGTAGCATTGTGGAAACTGCGTGCTAACTCGCCTCACACTAGTAAGTATCCTCAAATAGACTTACTTGTGGTTTCTGACACAGTGGAATCTACAGATGTTTTATGCTAATGTACTTTTGTCAGTGTTTGTAGATAGTAGTTTGCCATACAGTGTCAGAATCCACATAAGCAAGTCTATTAGAGATTACATAACTCAACACGGTTCAAGCCAAGTAAGTGATTTATGATGCTAATTGGTAAACATAAGCTTCCATTATTTGTTAGTTGCATTATTATCACAGCTAGTGATGCACAATGATATCGGAATCATATCAGTGTCGGCAGATATTCGGTTGTAAAAAAAAAAATTGGACAGATATTTATATTATCTTGGCAGTTTGTAGATCTAGTTGATGTATTTAAGCAAAAAAAACTAAGCTAAACTAAACCAAAGAAGCAAACTTCAGATACAAACATGTCTTTGCTGACGTGGAATTTGACATAAGGAGGAAATTATGTATATTTGGATTTTTCGCCAAACTATCACATACATTAAGCCTCTCTTAAACTGAGCTCTATTTAAGTCTTTTTTCAGTAGATTTAGTCACCAATTACTTATAGCCTGGACTTTAAAGGTTTGGATGAAGCTGGAGATTTGCTTAAGCCTTGGATAATTTCCTGTGCACATCTATCTCCCCAAACCGCTGACAGAGCCGTTCTGAGAGCTGCAAAAATCTGCAAATATTTTTTTAAGCCTTCAACTCAAATGGTGCTACATTCTGATCTAGCAAATGGCAGCAGATGAGTGCTTAGATCACTTTCCGCAGCTCTCATTAAAGAAACATCTTGCTGCAGTCTTGTACAAAGCACTCTATCTTTCTTACATCTACGAAGACTACTTTACAGGATCAAAGCACCACTTATTGAATGTATAATATCTTCTTTTGAACCTGCTGTGTTCCAGGATCATCCACGAGGATGGCTACTCAGAAGACGAGTGTAAGCAGTACAGAGCCGTGGTCTACAGCAACACCATCCAGTCCATCATGGCCATCATCAAAGCCATGAGTAGCCTCAAGATCGACTATGGAGATACAGCGAGAGCGGTACACATCTTTTCCTGTTTAGTTTAACCTCTTCCGTTTAGCTTAGCTAGCAACCTATGGCCTCATATTCCATGTGACACTATGTCAGAATCAGTCAAAATATAACAAAATATGTTTTATTGTTTTATTTCGATGTTGTCAGTAAAATGTTTTGACAGTTTTACAGCAGGGCTGCCTTATATGTCGTTAATGATTAGCATGTTATTGACCTTTGCGCTTCTTCAAAAGGCACAAAGCAAATGAGCCCTATAACCAATCAATGAATGCATGATTATGTCCTGTGAGCATCCTGCCCAACATCAGATGCTCCAAATATCTTCCTGCAAGTGTTCAATAAAATGCGTTGATTCATTTGATTCATTTGTTTTGTCAAAAACATTGAAGGCCAGTCTTTAATCGCATCACATTAGACCCACATTTTTCCCTGAGCTCCACTAATTTGGTTTGGTTTAGGAACCAAAACAGTCGTTATTCATTTTTACATGACCCACCTCTCTTCATCCTTTAGAACTAAACAGGCTGTTTTGTGCCTTTAAGACTGATGTATGTATCTTTATGAACTGGAGACTGTTTTGAATAATATTGCAATGTTTGCATACTACATCAAACGACTTTCATTTTAAAAAAATCAAAATTTTGATTTCTTTATGATATGGGCCCTTTAAGAATTCATTATGGGTTTTTAATATTTTGTTATAGAAACCATATTATAATCGTGAGATATAGATATGCATCTCACCCATATTTTGCAGTCCTCTTTCATACTGTCGTGGCAGTTTGCAGATCAGTATGTAAGTGCTGAGTTGCTAATGACCTTATGTATGTATGAAAAGTTTGCGAAACACCTTTTGAGGTGAAAACAATACTGGTTAATATGAATGGCTGTAGAAAAATATGAAGAGTCTGATGGTGGCATGAATGCTGCTCCATTTCCATTCGCAGAATTGCAGAACCATTTGTGACGTTTTGAGAGAAACTCTCTAACCCCAAACCCACCTGTTTAGAATGCAGACATCTGTTAGATCTTGTTGGGTTGTGAATTACAGCCTGTTTGGACCACAGAGTACCAAATATAGTCCAAGACAATTCAGTTTAGTTTAATTCCAACCCTTCCTTCCCTCAGCTAAATAAACTGAGTTTGTTTTTGAATTGTCATGCAGCAAACTGGTGATTGCCATGTGTGTGTGTGTGTAGGATGACGCACGGCAGCTCTTTGCACTGTCTGCCGCAGCAGAAGAGCAGGGAATCCTCCCAGACGACTTGGCCAATGTGATCCGCAGACTGTGGGCCGACAGCGGGGTACAAAACTGCTTCAGCCGCTCCCGAGAGTACCAGCTCAATGACTCTGCAGCCTAGTGAGTCCACACACACACACACACACACACACCCACAAGAAATGTAACCTGCTTATTTACCAGAAACCTGATCTTAAACCATTAAATCACTCAAAGGGGAATTCCAGTTTTTTCCACTGAAATTTCTGCATAATTCAGCAAACAAAGTGATTGTGTGGTTTGATGTGAAATGGTTCATTATAGAGAAACCAACTCAGATTTCTTTACAGTGGTGGTGAAAGGAACCAGGGGTCACAATGTCTACAACACAAATATAGACATTTTACTTACTGTCTTCTATAACTGTCATTTCTAATACTGTCTTCTTTGGGAATTATAAAACTGTCTCAGGCATCAGGCAGTGTGTTCATATCCATTTCATGTAATAACTTTGTGATGGAGCTTTCAGAGGCTTCAGATGTCTGGTTCCTATCACCGCCACTGTAAACAATTCTGATTCACAGTAGAACAGAGCCTTTCACATCAAACCGCTCTGAATGACTGTTTGTTTCAAAGTTCACAATTAATAACACGTCAATGCAATAAATGAAGTGATCCGTTTTTCCACTTTAACTCTTTGTACCATCTGTAGTTCCACCCTGAAGCCCAGCTGCATTGAACTGTATGTTGCTATGATTGAATCTGTGACTGTTCCCCTCTCATTCAAATAGAGTTTAGTGGTTGTAATTCCTACACGGCTCACCCTCAAATTAAAGCTAAAAGTCTGCACTTTGAGCACATATTCTTTATTTAATTCCAGTATGCTGTGGTAGACAGCTAAAATAACAACTTTGTTAACGTCCAAATATTTATGTAACTCACTGAAGCTATAACAAAATGCACTGCTTTTTAAATGGACAAATGTTTCCTTTACGGTTAAATTAAAGCGAATCAGACAAATGCTATTAATCGCGATTAATTACACAAACTAATGTGATTAATCGCTATTAATCATTTTAATCGTTTGGCTGCCTTACTTTATTTTGGATCTATATTATTTAATTATGCAGATTTTTTAAAATGCAGAAATTTCTAGCAAAATATCTAGCAAAAAAACATGCTCTTCTCCAAACAGGAGGTAACTTTTGACACTGTCAGCTTGCACACATAGACGCACACACATACACTGATAATTAGAAAGGGCCAGTTTCAAACAGCGAGCTCTCTGGCATGTTAGCTCTCCATCTGTTGTTGTTAGCAGGAAGGTGGCTGGCTGCAGTGAGGTCACCTCACACACTCATGATACGGACCCTTTAGTGACCACACAACACTGACATTGTGCAGACCAGTGAACTTTTATCATGTACCGCTCCTGGGCAGCGGCAGCACATTAGAAATGAATGACGTAGTTGCTAGTGCTGTGATTGCGATAGGCCTTGTACAATATTAAAGGGCCCTTATCCTACTTTTTTAAAGTATGTTATTTCTTACTCTGAGGTCCACTTAAACGTTTGTGTGGTTTTCCAACCTCTCCTTATCTCTTAGAATTAAACAGGCTGTTTTTTACTGTACATTTAAGACTAATGTATGTAAATTAGCTCTGTTCTGATTGGCTCTCCTGTATTGTGCATCATTCAAGAAGAGCTAAAACACTCCTTTGTTCAGTGTGAATGGGCGGGGCCAAACTGCTGTAGAGTAAATGTGAGGACATTTTTAAATATGTATGTATGGTTTTTGTGACATCATAAAAAGAATTTAGGATTTTTTTAGAGCTTAGTTTCCATATATGTACTGCATGGATTAGATGTAGTGTTTACATGCTACATCAAACTGGTTTATTTGTAAAAGGAGTGGGGAAGTGTGTTCCCTGTTATGGCCTTTTTCACAATGTGTGGGCTAAATGAATGTGTGAAACCCACTAGCACATCGCCAGGACTTTCTATTACCCAAAATCATGATATAAATAATATTATTTACTTCTTAATGGGTCAAAACGGCATTTTAAATTCTTAAATGGAAAATCATTTTCCTGTTGAAAAAAACATGAAGGCTATGTTCACTTTAAAAGGTTGAAGTGGCCAATTTTTTGCCCTAATGTGACTCAGATCTAATCTTATAGATTAGATTATTAGTCCCACAATGGAGAAATTTCACCTCGGCAATCTAACCCATCCGTGTAGTGAAACACCACATACACGCTAGTGAAGACACACACTAGGGGGCAGTGAGCACACTTGCCCAGAGCGGTGGGCAGCCCTATCCACGGTGCACGGGGAGTAGTTGGGGGTTAGGTGCCTTGCTCAAGGACACTTCAGTCCTGTCCTGTCAGCTCTGGGGATCAAACCGGCGACCTTCCAGTCACATGCAACCTTAATGTGAACACTCAGATTGGAATTCGTGTGCTTTTTTTTCACTGTGTGTGCACCATCATTCAGCGTTACCAAGGCAACTTATTACTTGAAATAAGGTAAATAATCTTATTAGAAGCTTACAACCGTCACAACATGAGAAATATTAGATATGTCGACTAGATTGAAGATAATTTTACTTGACAAGATACGATTTTTTGCAGTGTGGCTATTTAGTGCAATGAATCCTACATAATTATGCTACAGCATTTTAGTGCAGGTGCAGCAGCAGCAGTGCAAGTGCTCTTACGTGCCTCATGTTATTTATGTCATATGATTGCAATACAGATCATCTAAAAGTAATAAATTGGCTGATTGCTCATTGCACGCATCCCTGGATTTCATTGGTTACATATTACATATTGCAGCCTTCGGTAAGATCAGAATTTCATAGATAAATATAGTAATGAGTGACTAACGGAGAATGTATTTGTTCATGGTTATTTTTGTATCTTTCTTAAGGAGATTGTTGAAGACCTTATGCACAGAGATGAGTCTCTGCACAGGCAGAAATATATTTTAAACGTACATTAAAAAGAAGCTGACTTGGTAGCTGGGGGGATGTTTTGACCTTTGGATTTGTGAAGCAAAATATTGTGCTAATTACCTGCATTTCAAATCTAGGCCAGATGCTCAGAATGTGTTTACTCAGCAAAAAACACCTCCCATTTTCCTCCATCCCTCACTACTCAGCATGCACGCTGTACCTGCACTTCTCTCTCTCTCTCTCCCTCTCTCTCTCTCTCTCTCTCTCTCTCTCTCTCTCTCTCACTCCCCTCCCCTACCACCTCACCACCTCTGCCACTGTAAATGTAAATGTGCATGAGAGACTCCAGCTCTCTCTCTGCCATGCTCTCTCTCTCTCTCTCTCTTGCTCTCTCTCTCTCTCTCTCTCTTGCTTTCTCTCTCTATCTCTATCTCTCTCTCTCTCTCTCTCTCTCTCTCAACCCCTAATCCATTCCTTCCTTCCTGTGCATTTATTTTTCATTTGGATGGCAGAAGGAGCCATCCATTGCCACAGCCTGGAGCTTAACTAGATCCACTCTTCTCTCATTTACTTTAATGATTAAAGAGGGAAAAAAACTTCAGCGAAGACAAAATGAGAGTAAATAGATTGCTGTTTCCCAGAACACACTGCTGGTAGAGGCTCTGAGAGCGTTTGTCATCTAGCACTCTAGTGCTTTAAACTGGCCTTGTTCTTATCGGTCCAAGTCTATGCATCTAATTAGAAATGCAGTGTGCTGCAGTTATTTGTTTCTAGTATAACGTAAGCTCACAAACATCAGTCAGAGTGGCCTAAATTGACCTTGTCTTACCTATTGGCACCATTCCATTCAGAGTATTTGTCCATGTCTTCTTTAACTGATTAAAATCACTCCCCTGAGTAGATGGTGGATGTGTATGTCCACATCGGTTATGGTAAAACGAATTTGTAGAAAGAGCTTTCTTTGTTCTGCCGTGTTTTCTATCACTGTATAAAAGAAGCTGCCCTTATTGTTGGATGCACTGCGATAGTTTCTAAGCAAGAATGCACACACATTCATAATGTGATTACTATGGAAACAACAAATAAAAGGCACTGAAGTGTGAAGTATATTCCTTCCTTTCCATTTTATTTTCTGCCAAAATGGTAGACTGTGTCGCAAACAAGATAAAATACAAAAAAAAAATCAGCCTTGTTAAATACCCCACCAGTCAAAAGTTTGGACACACCTAACTGTAAATGCATTTTTTTATATATAAGGATAATTTATTTTTAAAGGCATCTGCATAAACGAAAATGACAATTGCTTCTAAGACAAATATAAATAGTGAAGTTGATGTGTATGTTTATTATTTCAAAAACATTTTGCATTTAAATTAGTTAAAATATTTATTTATTTTATGATTGAACATATGGGGGAAGAAATAAAGCATAAAATGTAAAAAATAAAAACAAAAGTTATGGCATGTTTTTTATTTTTTGGTTATTTTTACCCAAAATGTTAAACTCAATACGTTAAACTCAAAAGCAAATGAACAGAGTGTGTGTTAATTTATTTTCACTTTCGCATACATTTTTTGGTCTCTGATTAATGTGGAAAACCGTAAAAATAAGAAAGCCCACAATGAGGGCAAACTGGTTCTAATCTGAAAAAATCAACCCCTCTTCATCTTAAAATTGGAGATCAGGGTGGGAAATCTCCTCTTACGTGGAGCTTATTGGAGAGAACATATGTGGTTAATGCATTATTAAATAATATATTGTACTGTTATAATGTTGATTGTTTCTATAAACTAAAAGAAACAACTTCAGCACAATAACAAAAGGCACATTTGCAGGCACTTCAAATATTGCTGTATTGAATTGAGACGCCACCAGATTGTATTGAATCGAATAATGAATTTTGTGAATTGTTACAACCTAAAAGAGTTGGTGTGTCCAAACTTACAATGCAGCAGCAGCATCGAGAAAACACGTTAGTAAAGGAGAACGTATTTCTGTGAAATTCAGAAACGGCTGCTTTTTGCCTTGTTATTAATGGGTTAAAAAGTTATGCTGTAAGAATGGTGTAGATATCAAAACAAAACAAATGGGCTTCTTTCTGCATCTCTGCACAGCTAAATCCACAGTGTATAACTGACACCTACAAAGTCCATCTGGACACCAATGAACACAGTAAGAGTTAATTCGACACTGGGGGATTTTGTCCTGTGATGTCACTCTCGACGCTGTGTTAGTTCAGTTGCGGCTCATCCGTGTCCTCAGGCCTCCCAGCTGAAGCTCCTCGCTGTCATTGCCTCGCAGTGACACCCATCTTTACCCCACACAGCTGTCAACTGCTGCTCGCTGGAAAGCTGCGCTGTGCAAAATCTGGATTTCTGTAATCAGGAGGCAGGAATTACGCTGGCAGATTGGAGATGAGAAACAGCGAGTTGTTCACAAATCCATCAGGGTGAATAATTATGAAATGTCTTGAGAAACGACGCAATGGGGATTTAGATAATGAGCTTCTTTCATTTTGCGATTCATTTCATCCATATTATTACAATGGATGTGCGGCTCAGGGCATGCGGTATTTTTTAATTAATGGATCTGTAGCGGTTTCTCTGTTGTCATGGAAATAGATCTTGCAATCTGGTCTCCTTAACTGAGATTGATCTGATAAAAAAAGTGTTTTCCTCTTTTTCGGTTGTACCAGTTACTTCTTAACCTTAGAAGAATATTATCACTTCTAAATGTGATAACTTCTTGTACACCTACTTAAATTCATACATTGCATGTTACATTGTTTTGTTGTTTTCTATGGAAAATGAATAGAGGTTTGATTTGGTCTCAAAGTCCTGTATTCCCCATGTATTCCCCAGTGTGTGCAGATACGAACACCCTTGGCCGATTGAGCCACAGATCTTATCAGCTGTGATGTTGTATGTACACAATAGTTCATTTTCCTGCTCAGAAACACTACAGCCTTGCTTTTGTGGTCCAAGCATTGCTCGAAGTCAAGAGTACAAACATGGATGCTTTTTAATTTATCCACCAATGTTTATCAGAGCAAACCTCTGATAACATCTGTGAGTATCTCTGATGAGTAGCAGATGAAATATGACTCAGTTAGCTTTAGCGGTCTTATAATCCAAACACCCAGGAAGCAAGCTGGAGGCACCATAGAAGCAGAAGACTGATAGTCTGCACCAAAACTGATCTGTTGTGTCAAAACCAGATGTATTATTAACTAAGCTATAGTATCTTTAGTAAGTTCTTGCTAGCTGTTATGCTAACAGGTTGACAGTCTTACGATGGCAGGAATTTGCCATGCATTTTGGATTTTTTTTAAACCTTCGTGTAGCAAATTTTGCCAAAATTAGATCATGCAAACTGAATTTTGTGCAGTTAAATCAAGCTGATTATGCAAATTAGGTCATGCTAACTGATTCCCCATTAGCTTTCATTCATTTTTAGCCTCATTGTCAGTTTTACATAAGCTATTCCCTTACAAGCTCAGTGGTCTGCATGGCACCTGTGTGTTTTATGAACTTCCAAACAGATGACCTGTCAGTTTTCTTTAAACCCAGCGGTTTTCCAGTTACAAAAAAGAAAGAAAGCTTAAATAATCTACTGTGGAATCGCTGATTCGGCCCAGACAGATGGGTTCAGTGTGGTGTCACAAATGGATAGGATTGGGGAGCAGGAGGAGCTGTTGGAGGAGCTGTTTGCTTGGACAAGTTCATGTTGTCCACTGCCACGGGGGACACAGCTGAGAAAAAACGCTGGCCAAGCTGGGAAGAACAGACCTTTTCTCTGGGTGTCCTCTGTCTCAAGATCTGAGGTTACAACCAAATGATGACCCCAGGCAGCAGAAGGCCTAGATTGTTGTTATGATATATACCTGTTTGACTTCAATCAATAAAAAAATGATTAATGGAAAAGATAACAGGAGTGTGAAACACCTAACATTAATGTCAACAGTTATCATAATGTTCAACACTTGACAGTAGAGGAGGGCAATATGATGATATTTTATCGTTATCATGATAAACAATGCAGTCTTTTGACAAAATTCTGAGCATAATTAGTCCTGATTAGTTGGATTTAGTGCACTTGTGTGAAATGTTGAGCAAAAATCATTCAGATTTTTTGATACCAGTATTTAAATGTGGCGCTACTGGTGCATTGTGTCGTGATATGTATTTTATATCATGAAAATTGCTTTATATGCATGAAATTTGCTAAGTAGCCCGCTAACCAATCGCAACGTTTTTCCTGTGTGCCGTATCTTGACCAAATAAAGGTCCAGATGAGTATTTTTGTTGGTTTTTTAATGAAAAAGGGTATTCATGTTGTCCAACTTTTTTTTTGATCAAAATAATGTCTTTTTATTGATTCAGTCCGTTTTTTAATATATCGCAGAGTGTATGTAAATTGCATTATGCAGGAATATAATCTATAAAGTCACAATACTAGTATTTTATCCACATCATGCTACTCTGGGTCCTATTAACACATAATAACAGGTGAGCTTTATCTTGGTGTTGTATTTCAAATAATTCTCACCCAGCTGCTCCACATATTAGCTTGTCACGACTTGCGATTTCATAATTCTGAGAGATCTCTGCTTTCCCGAACCGCGTCCTTGTGTTTTTCAGCTCTCATCTTGCACGATGAAGCATCACGTATAAACAGCCAGTGTGACAAACGAGAGAGAACGAAAGGGGAGGGGAGAAGAAGAAGAAAAAAAAAGAGGCAAGCCAATGTTGCCATAGAAATGGTCTCGGTTAGCAAAGCGTTCAGGACCGTAGCCTGTCCTGTAGAGATGGCTCACTGAGCTAACAGGGTTATTTCTGGCCTGTGAGAGAGAGCCTGCTGCCAGCTGTGGTGGGGTCTGAACATGTTTACACTATTTGAGTTGATTTATCTTTGGATACGTTTCCAACGTGACCCCGATGGCTTGAGTCGTTTGTTTTGAGAGGATTTAGTGTAGCTAGCGCAGGTTCTTGAGGCACGTCCAAGATGAAAACTAGAGATTATCTGGTTTTGAATGAAAGCTCAGCACTTCGAGGGAATGATAAGCATCCTGGGAAATCATAGCCGAGACCACACTGAATGGATGATCCAACATGGCAGGTGCTGAATAATGAAAATTGTCACGGCCACATTGAATTGTGTACGGTTCTATGCATACCATATGAGCTCCTGCGCATATCTGTATTCATCATGAATGATGCAAGATTGCGCACACAAGGAAGTGGCAAAGTGAAGAAGAGCCATAGTCCAAGCTTTTTCTTTATCGCTTCTTCCGTTAATGATTTACATTCATTCATTGTTCTCCACAGTCATTTATCTTTATGGTTGTCGGAATGACCTAATTGTGCTTGTGTGTGTCTGTCTAGTTATCTGAATGATCTGGAGAGGATAGCACGAGCAGACTACATTCCCACCCAGCAGGACGTGTTGAGGACCAGAGTGAAAACCACCGGCATCGTCGAGACACACTTCACTTTTAAGGACCTGCACTTCAAGTGAGAGACTATTCCGCCTCTGTTTGTGCGTCCCTGTCCGTCTATCTGCCCGGCTGTGGCCGTTTAAGTGCCGCTTTGAGATTTGTTTGTCCTTTTACGCCATTAAGTCCATCAAGTATGATTTACGACAGTGCCCAGCCATAAACCAAGTTGTAATTTCCCTAATCTAAACCAAGTGCTCAGTGGACCTCCGCCCCTCTCACAGCATCGCCTCCTGTCATCCTGCTTGGCGTGATGAATAATACATGACAACAATCAATAGAAGGAGGGAAAAAAAATGTCACCTCGTCTGTTGTCCCACTTCCTGTAACCATAGAAACTTTTCTCCTGAAAATGCCACCAGAAATAAAGGCTGGACTGGACAAGTGGACAGATGGATCACAGACGTCCAGTGTACACAGACTGCCTTGAAGGAATATAATCACTTGGCAGACGAAGATTACTGCAAAGTTGCACAAGAATTTTTTTTCAAGTTGTTTAAAGCTGTAGTTCAGCGAGAAATCAAACTTACACAATTTCCCCCTCCTTATCTCAAATGTGATCTGTCACCCAATATATTAATGGCAAGATAATAAATCAATACAGTATAATATTGCAATATTTTGGTCGGGCGGAGGTCTCAAAACAAACAAAGCAGTTATTAGGAGTTTTTTTTAGCAAATGGCGCACACTATACTGTAGGGCTGGACAGTATGATGATGTTTATCATTATCATGATAAATTACTTCACAATTGTAACACTATGCGTTTTGGAGCATATTGTGGATATTGTCAGTACTTAAGGAACACTGAACAACTGCATGTTTCATTAAAAAGAGAGCATCATTAACCCTGTTTAATTGGATTTAATGCAGCACAGTGTGTAAAACACTGACTACAAATCATTGTATTCATAGTTTTGAGTGTTTTTATATGTGACACTACTGGTTCGTTTTGGCCGTTCCAACTTATCAGATGTCAGAAAAAATAAAAACATCTTGACATTTAGCATGAAAGTTTCCCAACATTATATTTTTGCAGTATTGCCCACCTCTACCTCAGTGTACGACCATGCATCACTTTGGTCAAAAATATGTGGTTTGGTTTCAAACCGTCATTTTTGTTTGAAGTATGTATACTGCCGCTGTCATATATCTAGATTGCTCTGAATCAAAGCATTTGTTAAGCGTTGAAGGCTAAGGCCTGTTTTGAATGTTGTCTTACGAATAAAAGCATCTTCTAAATATAAAAAGTTAAGGACAGTGTTATTGAAAGTTGATTTTTTTGTCAACTAAACTGAGACAAACAAACTTTGTTATATTAAACTAAGTTTACTTTTGGAGGAATCATTTACTAAACTGCAATAAATCACAATTAGTCATCGCAATACTTAGCAGATCGCAAACCTTTAAATATCACGAGTATCATGATAATGTTGTATTGTGAGGCTTATAGCATTTCCCACCCCTATAATACATGTTTGCTTCTTTAGATTTGCACTAAAGCTGCAAGGCTAACATAACAAATAATAGAAGTTACAGCTGTAGTAAGAAGTCTAGTTGGGACAACAGCCTGAGGAAACTGTATGGTGACTGTATGGGCCATGATGCTAATTGGTGGGGTATAAGCATCCATTATTTCTTAGCTACATTAGCCTAGTAGCTCCAGTGGCAAACAAAAGAAGCAAACACAGGACACCAAACATGTTCTGGGCTAATGGGAAAATTATGTAAATTAGATTTTAGGCTGAACTATCGCTTTAATGCCGTTGTTACCTGAATAAAATGCTTGAAGAAGGTCATAGGTACTGTTTTCTTTTAAGTGCCTCATGAAATATTAACAACTGAACAAGGACTCTCTCTCTCTCTCTCCCTCCCTCCCTCTCTCTCTGTCTCTCTCTCTGAAGGATGTTCGATGTTGGAGGCCAGCGGTCAGAAAGGAAGAAGTGGATCCACTGCTTCGAGGGGGTGACGGCCATCATCTTCTGCGTGGCCCTCAGCGCTTACGACCTGGTGCTGGCTGAGGATGAGGAGATGGTGAGGATGAAGAGTGTGGTTCTCTGACGCTCTTGGAGTTTCCTTCACTCTAGACTTAAATCTTTCATTGTTCAAGGCGACCACATGGTACCTTAATGTTTTATCTCCTAAAAGTCCACATGAACAGAGGACAGAAGCAAGTGCCCCAACCCACAGCAACAGCACCACCTTTTGGCCACTCCACTGTATAACGTCTTCACTAGCTTTAATTAAAACGCATCTCTCTCTCTCTCTCTCTCTCTCTCTCTCTCTCTCTCTCTCTCTCTCTCTCTCTCTCTCTCTCTCTCTCTCTCTCTCTCTCTCTCTCTCTGTTCTTTCTTATTCAGAACCGCATGCATGAGAGTATGAAGCTCTTTGACTCCATCTGCAACAATAAATGGTTTACGGAGACCTCCATCATCCTCTTCCTCAATAAGAAGGACCTGTTTGAGGAGAAGATCCCACTCAGTCCTCTCACCATCTGCTTCCCTGAGTACTCAGGTCTGTAGCCTTTAGAGAAAGAACAGCTTTAGTACTGTAATAACCTACATCACCATACATTAAACAGCCTGTATTAAATGTTCACAATCACCTTTCGTATTAGTACCTTTTGTTATTTTATTCAATGATAGCTTACAGTGTATATTTACTTAAAGTAAACCTGAGACTGAAAGGTTTTTAGGATGCTTTATTCAGTATTCCAGGTGTTATAGGCTTCAAAAAGTTGATTATATTATTAAAGAATAAATAATGTACTGTAATGATGTATTTACAGTAGTTTCTCCTCGGGATTTAATGACCACTTTTAAATACTTTTGACATATGAATCGATCAGGATAGTCATATTAATATAACTTAGTTCTTTGATTTTAGAATCATCTATTGCTCTGTTCATCTCAAATTGAGCTTAACTTTCTTAATGTATTTTAATTTCACAGTTCCCTAGCTTCCTACTAATCATTTGATTGCACACGACTGGCATATTAGAATAATTTAACACATTTACTTTCAACTAAACTAGTTCTATACTGTTTTGACAGTGATATCAGACTTTTAAATGCTGATGTAAACAGCTTTTATCAGAGTAAAGTCTCACCCTTCCATCAATATCATCTCTTATTCAGGAGCCAACAAATACGACGAAGCGGCAAGCTACATCCAGACTAAATTTGAGGACCTGAACAAGAAGAAGGACACAAAGGAGATCTACACTCATTTCACCTGCGCCACCGACACCAAGAACGTGCAGTTTGTGTTTGACGCAGTCACTGACGTCATCATCAAAAACAACCTAAAGGACTGTGGGCTTTTCTGAAGGCGTCACCAAGGACGATGCCAAGGTTAACACTTACACATACGCATACTTACATACAGTTAAACAAGAAAGAAATAGCTATTTAAAGGGGAATTCCACTGATTGTTCAAGCTTCATGCAGAATTAAATCTCTCTAGAATTGAAAATTTCACAGCAAACCACGCTGAATGACTTTGTTGTATATCTTAAACATAGAACATTTTAAAAAATCTGTGGAATTCTCCTTTAATCTGCTTTTCCCATCAATAATGTGATTGGTCACATCTTCAAAGTCTCTGACCATATCACCAGTAAGATGTTCTGTTTAATAGGGTTAAAGGGCCCATATCCTACATTTTTCATGTATTTGACTTTGTTTCTACTTGTTTGTTTTTGGTAAATGGTCATTTTTCAGCCTATCTTTATCCATCAGAGATTAAAGAGGCTGTTTACTACGACTTCAAGACTGATATATGCAAATGAGTTTTATTCTGGTTGGCTTGTATTGTGTCTCATTCAGAAACAGTCCAGGCTGAAACACTTCTTATAACTTCAGTGTGAATGGCCAATTGTGTTGGTGTTTGTGACATCACAGAAACAATTAATTCAAAACAGGCCATTTTTGCAGAGTAGTTTCCTTATATGGACTGTTACACATCACATCAGACTCGTATTTCATCGACTTGTATTTCAAAAAAGTGAGAGAATATGGGAGCTTCAAGGTGCAGAGCTAAACTGCTGTAGGCTGAATAGGCGGATATTTGGAACTGCATTGCTTTTCATGACATCACAAAAACAACACATTCAAAATGGGCTGTTTTGGCAGCCTATTTTTCATATATGGACTGTATAAAAATGTAACAGTGCTTACATACATCATACATGAGAGTCTTTTATTGTGAAACATCAAGGTAAATTCAGTTTTCCACAATAAGGCCCTTTAAAGTGACTTTTTTCTCAATGTTTTTTCTTTCCTCTATATTCTTTCTCCAGGAGAAGCTCGGCTGGGTGGTGCATCTGCACTTGCATCGGTGAGCACAATGCCAGACTGCCTACATACATCTAGGAAAACCCTGAATTTTTATGTGATACTGCGGGGGAAAAAGGACCGAGATATACAAAAAAAACGAAGAAGAAAAAAAATTGCAAAATCCCAAGTCACTGAATTCCAAAACACCTTCTCCTGCACCTAATTTTTATTATTTTTTTGTAAATATTTTCATTTTGAGGAGCTATTTTCTTTAGATTAAAAAACAAAAAAAGCAACAATGATTTTCAGATATGTTTCTCCTGCTCCTTTGACCTCTTTTAGTTTTTGAGTATGATGGGACAAAAGAAGGGGAGGGGGGTAAAGCCTTTGATATATAAACTAGTTTCCTTTTCTTTAACAGATGCGCAAAATTTTATTAAACTTAACTGTGTGATGCTTCTTTTTGTAAAAGCTGCGAGAGCACAGACCGAAATCCAAACGGCTTTTGCTTTTTTACTTAACACGTGGATTCCACATTCCCGGCTCAACTGCATGATGGACCACAAAAAAATCGAAAGGGAAAAAAAGAAGAAGAAAAAAAAAAAAAAGCTTGCTCTGGTTCAGCCTCGGCGCAACACGCCCTCAGCAGTTAGCGCTCTGCTGCATTTAACGTCTGAAATCCTAGCTTCACTTTGATAAACACTGTACAATTGTGACTAATATGTAAGTTGCATAAACCTGTCTTTCACTGTCCTTTCCTTTCGTGTTCCCGACCCCCGTTCTCTTTCGCTCTCTCTGTTTTGTGCCTTGACTTCCAGTTTTCACATTGTCTGTAGAGTTTAGCGCTGATTCAGTTCACAGTATCAAAATAAAGAATTAAAAAGTGAAGATGGTTGTAGGAGAGGATAGAGTGGGGGACAGTCTTCTGATGAATATGAAATGCCATGAATGGTTTTAAAATAAAATAAAAGTTGATTCACGATCGTGAACCCTCTGAGTGTTTGTCGCATTCTTTTGCTTTGTGTTATGAGAAGCCTTATTTCTGTATTTGCCATGAATTAATGTCTCAGTGCAGCATGATCTTCAGAATCTTTTCATAGGTGGGTCGTTCTCCATTTGGGTGGGAATTCAGGGGGATACATTTTTTAAAAATCAGTTTCTTTCATCCTAAAACGAAATAATCTTAATATGTCCATTAACATCTCCTGTTATCATATATGCAAAAAGGAGCTGAATTCCAAACATATTTTACAGTCACTGGTGTTGTATGAATATGGTGTGACTGTGACTCCATTCTGGTTAAAACTGAGGATTTTGTAAATTGACTCACTGGCTGTCAGGTGACCTTGTGCAAGTATTTAAAATCAGTAATAAAAATGATATTTGGCATTATTTTGGCAAAAATTTAATTATCCAGGCATTAAAGCTCATGACACTAGTGACACATGGAAGTTATGAGCTGCCTGATAAACAAAATTATTAATAAATTAATGAAATATAGTGCGTGAGTGTGACTCACCTTCTCATGCCTTGATCTGCTTCCTCTCTGATGAGCCTCGACCCAAAGAAGCAGGTTAGTAGAGTTGAAAACACTGTGTTAAAATGTAACATAAGTCCTGATAACACCAGTGACTGAAATCTCTGTGACAAATTAATTTTTTAAAAAAACATATTTTTAAATGTAGTATAACATTAATGATATGGAAAGTAAACAGTAAAAGTGAATCTGTTTTATACAAACTCCTAAGTTAAACCTCTTAGAAATATTGTTTTATATTAAAAATGGTTTCTCAAATGTTGAAAATCAGTTTTGTGACGAGCTGTTTTACAGATGCAGAGTGACTATGAAACAGGACAAAAATAGGAAAATCAGAGAATCATAAAGGAAAAGTGTTATTTAATCTTAGGTCAACTGTAAATGTACATACTGACATCTGGAGCTGTGTCTAATATTTTAAGCATCTTATTAAGCCCTGCAACCTCTGTGACGTGGATTCCCACTCCAAATGGAAAATGACCCAGGTGGGATTTTTTGCAAACATTGTCAAGACATTCCAGCTTAAAGGAATAGTTCACTGAAAAAACAAACCTAGTTTTAACTGTTAGCACAAATGTATTTAATCATCCTAAACATTGTTGGTGTCTCAAGTTTGCTTCTTTAGTCTTGCACTAGAGCTACGAGGTTAATGTAGCTAACAAGTAAAGGAAGCTTATAGCCCACCGATTAGCATAAGGCAAACCGCATACCTGAATCATCACACACTTATCTTAAACCATGTTGAGTTGTTGAAGTGGAATTCTTTAAATTTTCTCAATTTCGGTGGGGAAAAAGTATGGACTTCTTTACAGTGGTGGTGATGGGAACCAGGGCTCACCATGACTACAACACAAATATAGCCATTTTATTTACTAACCAAAACCACCAGTGAACCTGCACGTGTCTTATGAGCTTTTATAAGGGATGTTAATGATGGTAAAATAGTGAAATCAGTGTTCTTTGGAGACGACTGTGCATTGCAGTGAACTGCATGTAATCAACCACCAGTGTATGAATTGATACACTTTAGGCCTCAGTCTTATCTCACAACTATTATAAATATCAGGCATCAGGTAGTTTATTCATAGCCATTTCATGTAATAACTTTATGTAAGGCGGGTTTTAGAGGCATTCAAATGTCTGGTTCTTATCACCACCACTGTAAACAATTCTGACTGTAAGTTTCTCTGGACTGTAGCATTTCACACCAAACCACACTGAATGACTCTGTTCACATCTTAACCCTTTATTTTATGCAGACATTTTAAAAAATCTGTGGAATTCCACTTTAATTCATCTCTAATAGACTTGCTTATGTGGTTTCTGTGACTGTATGACGTGGACAAATGTGTAGCAGCCACATTGTACCAATGTACAGATGAAATTCAGGCTTAAATTTTTATACATTTTTTTCTGAACTATCACTTTAACCATTTTGGTGCTCTGTTGGTGTTTAATATGCTGAATGCGTAGAAGTAATGTACTGCTGTTGAGGAGTCTATTATAAGTGGGAAGATCTTAAAATGGTTATATACACAAAGTGTCTAGAAGGAGTGTCTCAGTCTAGACACAGGTGGGATATGATATCTAGCAAAGGAAATAGCTGGAAAGCAGGACTTGAGCAGCATAAGGTATCAGCACAATGCTATCGTTTGTTAAAAAAAAATAAAGAAATAATAAAAAAAATCCTACACAATACAGATATGTTGTTCCCTAAACTGGTCCCACATCAGCGTCTCTTGCTCTGGGAAATTCTATTCAAATTCATCATAGAAGGTTTTGACAAGCCAGCATTGGAGGCTGTAAGTTAACAGGACTCGTTTCTGCTAATATAGTTAAGCAGCAGTTCACTCTGAACACATAAACTGCCCAAGACAGGACACGTGCAGGAGAAAGGAGTCCATATCCAGTTTGTTTGCAGAGTGCTGTGGCCCAGTGCGATTAGATCTGGATGCTTTTGCTCTTAAAAACTGTGTTTTTTAAGGGTAGTTTCACCATTTTTGAAAAATTTTGAGAGAATTAATTCCGTTGAGACACAAAGAAAGTCATTCAGAGTGGTTTGGTGTGAGATGGTTTGTTGTAGAGAAACTTACAGACCTTGATGTCTTTACAGTGGTGGTGATAGGAACCAGGGGTCACCATGTCTACAACACAAATATAGCCATTTTATTCACTATCCAAAACCACCAGTGAACCATATTTCATATTGTTTTATATGCAATGTTGATCATATTAAAATAGTGGAAGAAAACATTTTATCTTTGGCTACAAGCCTTACAGTGCCCTGCATCTACCTCTGCACCAAGAATGGATTTTAAAAAAAAAGAAAGAAATTTCAGGCCAAAAACTTTGTAGAACCCGGTGTCTCAGGTATCAGGCAGTGTATTTGAAATCTTCTTATATAATAACTTTCTGTGAGGGAGCTTCTAGAGGCATTAAACTCTTCAGACGTCTGGTTCCTATCACCACCACTGTGAACAATTCTGACACTAAGTTACTTTAGAATTTGATTTCACACTGAATGGATTTAATGATGCAGAAATTTTGAAAGATCAGTGGAATTCCCCTTTATGTTTACAGAGATTATTACTGTCTCATTGGCATTGGGAAAATCTATTAATTGGCTATTGGACCAAAACATCATTTTGTAGACGTACGTTCCCTACAGAACGAGTACACATCTCTCCTTTTATTCATACCGTCAAACCCCCGAGTGCTTTCAACAGCAGCGTCTACATGCAGTGAAGGTGTGTGAACAGCAGGTTAAGATAACCCATTCTGAGAACACTTGTACCTGAATGAATTGAATAGACATGTCTAAGCCATTTGTCTTGTTCTATGCGAGATCCATTTAGGATAATGGAAATTGGTATTCAAATGCAAAGCTTTAGCTGTTAAGGCTCCAAAGCATGGAAGTGCCACTTGGATTGCATTTAAATTTCAGGGCTGCAAATAACTGCAGGCAAATGGACGTGGCCGTTTATTCTGGAAGGGTGAATGTGAGCCGTTCTGGTTTGTTAGCACTGGAAAAGGTGCTCTGTGAGTAAATTCTTCACTATTTAGGTGATTTCACAGTTGGGGTGCCATTTGTGTCCCACTGATATTGCCTTTACAAATAGGTATGTAAAGTAAAGGTAGATAAAGTGTCTGTTACAACAGAGATTCTCAACTTTTTCCACCTCAGTGTCCACCTATTTATCACTAGAACGCATGAAAGTCCACAGGAAAGCAACACTCTTTCTTTTTTGCCTAAAAAAATGTTTTTGGGACATTTTCAACACAGCTATGTTTGAGGCCTACCGCACAATATATGACTTATCAATATCAGTGAACATAAAATATCAACAGAATGGTGGCAAGTTATGAGGAACGTTTCTACAACACAATTTTCACACCATTCATTCACGAGTCAATAGTCAAAAAACTGACAAAGCTGCCTTTATGCACCATCATACAGGGACTTGTATTGTGGCCCTGTGATTGAGAAACAACCATGTTTCAGACAAATATCTTAAAACATGAAAACTTAAAATATATCAACAGGCCATGGAAAACAGCATTTTTGACCATCCTAGTCCTCTATAACTAGGACAGAAAGATTAATCATTTTTACAATCGCAATTTTCAAATTGCAAGAGCTGCAATTTTTATTGCAGCCTACATTACCAGCAACGTTGTCTTGGCCAGTTTTAAGTGAGGACATTCAAGCTAAAAATATGGGCTGCAAACTGGCTGTAGATGAGTTAGACCAATCAGAAGCAACCATACACTCGTGTTGTGACATCACAACCACAACTAACTGGCAGTCTTGGCATTTAGCATTGAAATAAAGTCATTATATATATATATATATATATATATATATATATATAATATATATATGTAAGTCATTAGTATGTCTTGTGTCCTCATGCAGTTAGCATGGATGCTATTTAGATGCTAGCATTTTTTGGACTGTTAAATTCACATTTTCTTAGATTCAGTGTAGAAAAATCATTTAAAATAATGGTTGAATTTTTAAGAGCTACAAAAAGCTTAAGGCACCTCAGTCATGGACTCGCCCCTCTGAGCCTACTGAATGACCCCCTGCCAAGTTTATCATTCCAGCTGATCAAATTAAAGGGTGTTGTAAAGCAGTCAAACAATGCAAGTGGTGTCAAATGTGGCCAGAGTGTAGGGCTAACAGACATGCAGTGTCTTGCAGCACTGTTAGCGCCACTTTTGCACTTTTGATCACAGGCCTCTGAGGACAGGAATGTCTGGAATGTGTCAAGGTATTGTGGCTCATGCACTGTGAACAGTGAGCTGTGTTTATGTATGCACACTAATGTATGGGCTCGAGGTCGGTTGCTTTGCATTGAAATGGACGATGCTAGCCGGTGGGGGAGACGTGTGAAGAGCCGTGAAGAGGCCTAGCGCTGTAAACAGGCCTGCAGTAGCAGCGCGCGGCCA